AAGGTCTCTTTTTGCATTCTGTGAACATCAGAACAATTCAGGTTCATTGTCTGGGACCGATGGCTAGTTTGGTTAAATATTTTGGACCTTTCTTCTGATAGTTTTCATTACCATTCCAAAATAAATTCCATAAGGTCATTTGTGGAGCCTATTTGTAAATTCCATTTCAATCACGGGAAGATCCGTCAACAGAGAAATCCATGCCTTCTACATCTGCGAATGCTCTTGGGTCAGTATTTTATGAACTAAATGGTTCTGAAGGAGAAATCCAACCGGGCTCTACACTGTTTGCTGAGAACCAAGGAGATGAGCTTATCTTTGTTTTTAAGAACTAGCCTCTGTCTTGGGGCAGTGGGCTTGGCAGGAGGAGCGAATGACCTCACTGGGGCTCCATTGGCCTGTGTTTATGGTGGATGTTACCACTGAAGCATAACAATGCATCCTGACATCATCCACTTTGCAAAAAGGAAACTCCTGCAGCAGTCCCATAAAATAATGATGAACAACACACTGTACTTTCAGAGAACACAACACTGGCTCACAGTCACGAACTGTGCATGTCCACTACTGTGAGCACGCTGGCCACAGAATGCTAGCCCTGACACCATTCCCCTTGGAAACCTCAGAGTAGGAAACCAGAGTGAAAACATCCTGAATCAGTTGTGAGATGGGGTGCTGGCGGCTCCATGGGGGATGCAGGGCTCCGATGTTGGGCAGAGTTTCACAGAACGGATACATCCGTCCTGCCCAACAGTGGGAGTAGACAGGGACCTGAAGAAGACAGACAGGAACCTGAAGGCCCTGGGATCTAAGTGGCCTGCCCTGAGCTGGCTCAGGAAAGCCCAAAAGGACAAATGACCACAGCATAGAGCAAAAGTAAGGGACTAGGGTGGGGGTGAGGGTGCCTGGGCAGGTAGTGAAGGCTCCTCAAAGTCAGTGTGTACTCGGGAGAACCCTGGGTTTTAGGAGCTTTTGCTGTTGTGTATTTGTTTTGCTTTAGTCTGGGGCCTACTGGCAATCGTCTGCGGCTGCTCTTGGCAGCCCTTTGAGCCCTCTCCACTCATGCCCCCCCCCCCCCCCAGGTCCTCCCAGGCTTGAAGAACTTTGTAGGTGACATGGAGAGGAGGAACTGAAGGCTAACTCTGTTTGGGGGTTATGTTAGTGGTTGAGACATTGGGGGGAGAAGGAGGCTAAGAAAGGAATTCAACATCTATTAAATGTTCACTATGCTTAGGGTATTTATTTGCTTGAAGCAATATGTTTTCGAGATGAGATTATAAACTCTACTGTTCAGCTGAAAAATAAAATCAAGGCTCGAAGACATCAACCCTTTGCCCAGGGTGACTGAGTGAGTTGGGGAAAAGAGTGAGTGGCTAGAGACAGGAGTCAGCACTTGGGGCTTCAATGGTCACTGATCATCTGTGATTTACTGGGTTGATAATGAGCCTTAATTTCCTAAGTTCCCTGCAATTCCGGATCAGAGGTTCAGTATTTCAGCTGTGCCTCTGGGCTAAACTCAGAGGCAATCACAGTAGCCAGAGAATGAGTCATCAGAGAGATTCTCCTTGGAAGCCAGAATCAGAAAAACTAGTCCCCTCGGAACAACTGCAAATGCGACCCTGTTAGACTCAGCGCTGCTGATGAGTGGACAATGTCCTCTCTGTTCCTGGGTCCCAGAAGCCAGTTCAGAGCTGGGCACTGCAGATGGCCAAGGAGAGAGTGGCCGTCCTGGGCCCAACTTGGATTTCACGCAACATTTGCAGTTTGCAAGACAGGCACCAAGGAAACCAAAGTTTATACAATTCCGAGAATTATTTCCATGGATGAGGCCAATGTGACCCTGGGGAGGAATTCTGCTCCTCGTTGGGGCACCAGAAAGACTGGTCCAGGACCTCATCAGTGGATCAGCTGCTGGTTCTATTCTTTCTGTCCATCTTTGGGGGCTGATTCCAGCAGTGCATCTCTCCATGGGGTCAGGTTCTCTCTTTTGAATGTCAGGAGGTCTCCCCTGCCTTGCTTCTTAGGCAACAACCCCCTCTATCAGCTCTGCCCAAACTAGTTCTGATTTCTCCAGTGAGACAGGAATAGGGAAGCACCTCATGGAAACCAGATCTCTGCTTGTCCATATGAAGCTTCCATTATGCCACGCTTTGCTATGTGCCAAGCCTCTGGGACTGTCCCAAATGTACTGAACTATTCTAGGTAGTAAGGTCTGCCACTAGGGTCCCAGGTGCTTCTGGCACAGCTTGTGGCTCTGCTCAAGGAAGGGAGTTTTGTTCTGTAATACTGTGGTACAGTGGTGACAGTCAGACTAATGTACCACTTGCCTCCTGCCAGGCATTGCTCTATGTGCTTTATAAATATGAATTCCTATGCTCGTCGCTGAACTAATGGTAAGACTGAGAGGTTAAGTTGGCCAAGGGGACGTGGTCTGCAGGTGGCACAGTCAGAACCAGAACCCATGTGTTTTGGCTGTAATTAATTCACTTTACCACTACGCATTCCTGCCTCGCCAAAGGCAGGGGAAAGCCCAAGAGTCTGTCACCATGAAATACACTTACTATCTTAAATTCCCTGTTTACACAATTGACAAACTACTGCCACTAACAGTTACCAGACTTATGTAAATAAAGAGCCATTACCATCAGCTATAAATCTGAACCTCAAAATGATTTAGGAAGAAGCCTTAAGGTGAAGCCCAAGTCTTAATATATGAGTATTTGAATTTTGATAGAAAATACCACAGATGTTCTGCATTTCAGCAAATCTAATAAAACAGTGAGATTAAAATTTATATTTGGCAAAAATAATCCAAGAATGAGATAAGGGAGATAACATCAGAGAAGGTAATTATGAACATGACATTCAGAGGAGGGGAAACAAAGCTGAGGATTTAAGAATCAAAGCAGGGCTGGAAAGAGAACACAGGGGTCAAGGCACTGGCCTTCCACATGGCCAAGCCCAGTGCCACCCCTTGCGCCCCATAAGATCTGCCCAACACACCAGCACAGAGCCAGGAGCAGCCACTGGGCACTGCCAGGTGTGGCCCACAAACCTCTGAAAATTAAAAAGAAAAAAAACACCAAAGCTAACTTGTCGAGAGTGCAGATTGACGTAGGAGAAAAAATAATCACAGTAGTCTATGACAAACTCATGGCAAGTGGTTAGTTTGCTCAGCCCATTCTAATTCACATGACAAAATGCTGATATGCTTATAATGTAGAAGATGAACCCCACTGAAGGTATAATCATGTGGAATTTGACTTAAAAAGGGATATTACGTACCCTATGGAGATCTGGATCTTGGACCCCTTGAATCTGTGTCTTGACTCTGATGTGAGCACTTATGACCCTTATGACCAAAAGAACTAATGAGTATATCTCTGAGATAAATGTAAGTAGTCAGGAAATAAACTAATGCCCGGGCTGGTTTGGGGTGCAGGAGGGACTTGAAGCCAGTGAGGCAAGGAAGCTGAGGGCGGTGCGCTGGGCTAGCCCTGCTAGTGTCTGAGCTGGTTCCTGACGGGAAAACATGGTGAGGAACAAGACCAGGCTCCTAGGACTCGGAGGCCAGGGGTAGCTGTGTCACAGAGACAAAGAGGGATGGGGTAGAGGGAGACTGGCTGAGGGCAAGTGACAGCCTGGATTTTACTCAAGTCTGGGATGAAGGCAGAATGTGGTTTGGTTTTATTTATTTATTTACATATTTATTTATTTGCTTTCTGGGTCACACCCGGCAATACTCAGGGGTTACTCCTGCCTCTGCACTCAGGAATTACTCTGGTGGTGCTCAGGGAACCATATGGGATGCTGGGAATTGAACCTGGGTTGACCACGAGCAAGGCAAATGTCCTACCCACTGTGCTATCATTCCAGCACCCAGAATGTGCTTTTAAGTTAGGGGAGTAGTGTTCTGGTCTGAGGTGTTCAGAATGGCTGTCTGAATAATGTCTCCGAGGGAGCCAGGAAACAGCAGAGGCCAGTTAGGTGGTTCCCACGGAGCTATCCACACCACCAAGACCATTTCATTGGAACTGAAATGAGAATGAAGCCACCCACTGGGACAGGATGTGAGCAGATATGAATCTAGAATACATCTAGATGGCGGCCGCATGGGAGCCTTGGGACAGCAGGTATGAGCCGGGGGAGTGGGGGCGACTAAAACCTCATGGGAAGGGGGGCGTTTCGGTCCGCCCTTCACGCCCTACCGAGGCCACCAGTTGCCCCCCACTAGCGGCTCTCCAGCACGGCCACGACTCCAGAACACAGAAACCAATTTCTTAACTATCTGACTTTCAGTAGAAATACTTCCAGGGTCAATAAGTAAAATAGCAGAAATCCAAAACCAACATTTAATTCTTGAACCCAGCTGTAGAAAGCAAATCACTTCACAACGCTTTTTCAGCATGTCTGATTTGGGGGGGGGGGGGGGTAAACTCTAAATAATAGTGGTGAATCTTTTATTGAAACAATGAATCTAATCAAAGCAGATAGAGTGTTAACTAGAATTCATCTGCCCCACAGGGACTGGGAGGGGTGGGGGGTGGGGTTTTATTGGGGTTCTTCATGGTAAAAAATAAGTATTGGTAAAGGGAAATGTGTTTGATATTTGCATGACTGAGACCTAAACCTGAAAGCTTTGTAACCTTTCCCACGGTGATTCAATAAATAAAAAAAAAAAAAATAGAATACATCTAGAGGAGATCTAGAGAGGGGTTATATGACATGTAGTGAGTTGTTTGCCCTATTAAAGTAGCCTACATGCCCACCTGGTGCAGAACTAAGTGTCAAACCAATAACCCCAATTGTTACCACATAAATAAATACACTGATCCCTTCTTTACAACGCTAAGCATGTGTGTACGTATGCATGTTCATACACACGTGCGTACGGCTCTCTGACACCACCCATGGAAGAGATGGCACTCTCCAAACGTTTTCTCCTCTGCTCCAGACTTTCCCACATGATTTGGATTTTCCAGTGAGCAGTTGTGACATACCTGGAGTACGTCACCCAGGTCGGCTGTGCTGATGTCGGGGTCCTCCGTGGTGTTGAAGGGTACGGGTGTTATTCGTACGAGGGTGAGGACTCTGGGCTCGGGGTATCGCCACAGCATCATCCCGGGGCTCTCTTCAGTTTCATTGGAAAAAAACACTTCATAGACGCCTGGCAGCTTCAAAGGGTCTGGCAAAGCAAAGTATGATTAACTGTTGCCAACAGGTTGGCTTACGAAAACAAGAACAAATTATGAGGATAAGGAAGGTTCAAAGAAGCTGGTTCATTATTTCACTATTGTCTGAAACAATAGTTTTCCTTGAAGACAGCACAGTAATGAATCAGTTTTACATCTTATTTGATGTAATTACATTTACATCTTATTTGATGTTATTATTACATTTACATCTTGCTTGATGTTATTATTTCTGGCTGGAGCAATAGCACAGTGGGTAGGGTTTTTGCCTTACATGCGGCTGACCTGGGTTTGATGGCTCTGTCCCTCTCAGAGAGCCCAGCAAGCTACTGAGAGTATCCTGCCCGCAAGGCAGAGCCTGGCAAGCTCCCTGTGGCATATTCAATATGCCAAAAACAGTAACAACAAGTCTCACAATGGAGATGTTACTGGTGCCCGCTCGCTCGAGCAAATCGATGAACAATGGGAGGACAGTGCTACAGTGTTATTATTTCTGGCAGTGCCTGGAATTGGACCCAGGGTGTCACATATGCAAAGCAAGTGTTCTACCGCTGAGTGGCATATCAAACTTCTAGCTTTTTGTAGTACAGGCATTAATGTGCTTTTCCACTGGTCTTAACAGGTGAGTATTCAGTGAGTGGGCAATTAGCACACATGCACACGCATACATTTTAAAAGGTTACGTACCAGCATCCTTTATGTACTGAAAGAGACCACTCCGCAGGTCATCTGAACTGTGTTCACTTTTCAATGTCTGACTCTTCTCCGCAGGAGCTGGCCTTTGTGGTTCTGCCTCTGAAGTCTGCGCTTCCAAATTCCCCTGCTCCTGAAGGTATCCGCTGAGCAACTCATGTAGAAGAACTAAACAATTCAAATGTTCTTGGCCCCAGAAAACCTTAAACAATCATATGAAAAAAATTTAGTGGCTTTTAAATACAAACACTTCAGGAGGATAATTGGGCGCAATCATATCTGAATTAACATAAGACTGCAATTATGTTCATTTTAATTACTGACAATAACTAACCCATAGTCTCTAAGAAATAACTGATCTATGGGCTACATTTACTTAAGGAAATGTACAAAACACACACACACACACACACACACACGAAAACCCATTACTTTCTACATTGTTTGAATGGGGCTGGAGCGACAGCAGAGCGGTAGGGCATTTGCCTTGCACATGGCCGACTGGGCAGACCCGGGTTTGATTCCTCCGCCCCTCTAGGAGAGCCTGGCAAGCTACCGAGAGTATCTTGCCCACACGGCAAAGCCTGGCAAGCTACCCGTGACATATTCGATATGCCAAACATAGTAACAACAAGCCTCACAATGGAGATGTTACTGGACCCACTCCAGCAAATCAATGAACAACGGGAGGACAGTGCTACAGTGCTATTGTTTGAATGACACAAATCACAAATCACAAATCATCCTGTTAATCGTCGATTGCCTCGAGCAGGCCCCAGTAACGTCTCCTTCATCCTAGCCCTGAGATTATATTCAAGGCTCTTTAGGAGAATGAGACCCATCACTGTTACTGGTATTTGGCATATTGGGTGTGACACGGGGAGTTTGCCAGACTCTGCCGTTTGAATGAATGATATTGTTTGAATGACAATAATTTGAAATCCTGAACTTATGATCGAATTATTTTGCTATGGGGTCATGTTCACAATGTTTTTTTTGTGTGTGTGTGTGCGAGAGAAAAAAGCCCTATTTACTGGCGCCTGCTCGAGCAAATCCACGAGTAACGGGATGTCAAGTGATCAAGTGATTATTAACTATTTAATTTCTCAGAGATGATAAAAATCTCCAAAGCCACTCAGGGCCGTGCATTATTAGGCTCCTCCCATCCAGCATTCTTACATGCCACTAAGAAGACAGGCACAGGGCTGGAGCAATAGCACAGTGGGTAGGGCGTTTGCCTTGCACACAGCTGACCCAGGTTCGATTCCCTGCATCCTATATGGTCCCCTGATCACCGCCATGAGTGCATGAGCCAGAAGTGACCTCTGTGCATCGCTAGGTATGACCCAAAGAGCAAAAAAAAAAAAGAAAAAAAAAGAAGGTGGGGGAGAGGGAGAGAGAGAGAGAACACGGTGGCCAAAGCCTTTGCTTTGCACGCACCTGGCCCAGATTAGATCACCTGGTTGGTTGAGCACCGGCAGGAGTGATCCATTAGTGCAGGAGTAACTCCTGAGCACTGCTGTGCATGGCTCAAACTCCACCCTCTCCCAATTTTTTTTTTAAGAAAAAATAATGCTGGTAAAAAGGTTGGGGCAACATTCAGATGAAAATGGGAGATTGATGCAGAATAGTATTTCTAATTAATTATTAATCAAGAATTTCCATTCTTATGTACTTGTGAATCCCTTGACATTTTATGATTCATGTCAAATTGGGGAAGACCAAGTCATATAAAAATACATTTAAGTCTACCCAAACAGACAATTATAAGAAAAAAGTTGGGTAAGTTTGGTATGTTAGTTATCCTTGCAAATCAAACGCTTATGAAGTTGCAATATGACTTATCAGTATTAGTATTATTCATCAGACATCAATCCACACAAGAAGTCTGTTCTACTGATGACACTGTGCTTGAGATAGGTTCACTGCTTTGTTAATTAGAAAAATCACATTATGAAATTTTAAAAAAAACTACTCAGTAATTCCACTCCAAATCATATTATTCAAGTGAGCTGAAATTACAGGTCCATGTTAAACCTGGACATAAATGTTCATAGCAGAATTATTTATAATAGCCAGGAGAATGTAAGTGCCTATTAATTGGTGAATGGATAAATGAAATGTGATATTGCACAACAAGGGAAGAAGTACTGCTAAGACATGGACGAATCTTGAAAACATTATATTAAGTGGGAGAAGTCATAAAAGACCACATACCATACATTGCGCTTAAGGAAGTATCGAACACAGTCAGATATGGAAAAACAGGCCAGATAGTAACGGCCAGGCCTTGAGAGGGAAGTAGAGAATAACAGGGAGAGAACGCAAAAGGAGATGGTTTTTGGCTGAGTGTGAAAAAGTCCTCAAATCAATGATAATGATGATTACACAACTCTGAAAACACAAAACAAGCATGAATCATAACTTTGACGGGGTGAACTGTGTGATTTGGGTATTATAAGAAAGTGGTTTTAGAAGCATAGTTGAGAGTGACTGATTGTATCTTTTCTTTCCACCACACCAAGACTTGAAAAGTAGACAAACAGTCCAAAAAAAAAAAAAAAGAGTAAACTCCACTTTCTCACAAAACATAAGAGAGGAGTCCGGCCACCCCACACACCTGTAGCAGACCTCCTCTTAAATCCACGGCTATTTTCGGGGTGGACTGTTCTGGGCCTGGACTGCCACTATGTTTGCACCATTTTGCTTCCAGATCAGCAGTTACACAACATGGTCCTATCAGAATCCGACTCCGCTCTTTAAGACTTGTTTTAAGGAGCAAGTCACTTATGCTGAGAAGACATGATGACCCAAGAATTATACCTGAAAAACACAAAAATTGGAGATAAGCATTTATTATACTTTATCCTTGTCAAAAGTACTTCTGTGCAAAAGCTATCTGTATTTTTTTTTAAATTTGTTTTCTGGGTCCACATTTGGTGTTGCTCAAGGGCTAAGAGTCATATCCCAATGGTGCTTGGGGGCTCCAGATGGCGCTGGGGGATCAAACCTGGACCTCCCACATACAAAGCATGTACTTAGTCTGTTGCGCGATATCCCTGACCTTGTGGCTGTATTTTTAAAGCACACTGATTCATTCTTTGTTATAATCTTCCTTTTCAGTTGACTTTTCTTCCCTTAGTTTTTGGCCATTTCTACAGAATTCAAGTATGGAGCAGGTATGGCTCACTCACATTCTCAACAAAGCAATATTTGCCAAAACATTATGACTTTTCCCACGTGTGAGCATTTTAAGTTTTATGAGCAGAGACATTTTTCATTAAACTGTGCAAGTTTTCTAAACAACTCCATTAAGAATAGGAGCAGCTGTTTCGTTTGTTGTTCATGGGGATGGGGCGGCGGGGGTGGTGGTAGGGGGAATGTTAGGGAGGAGGAGGGCACAATTTTCTGGGACTTCTTATAGTAACCCAGTATAGTCTATTACCGTGTGGGACTCTAAAGTCTTTGACTGGCTTACGTTAAGATTCAAAACAATCAAAATATGTAACATGTGTTTTCTAAAAATTTTGGTTTAATCCAAACTTAACACATCATAACCACTTGAAGTTTACAAAGACTTAAAAACAGATAGTGGCAGGTTAGATTTATGAGAAAAACTCTATGCTATAGTTCAAAGTAAATATATTCAGAGAAGGAGTATACTTTAAGATGTAGATTTCCTTTTGAACCTAAAATAGAAGTGTAAATCAAAACCTTTTCATAAAACAACGGCACACGTTAAGCCACTTGGATGCAAAGTTAAGAGTGGAGGGCTAGCTTTCACCATAGAACTTGTATTCTGAATTGTCATTGTAAACAATGAACTTTACCAGACTACAACTGTAATGCCCATGGCTTATTTTTCTAATGATATTCAATCCTTAAAAGAGATGAAAGATTAAAAAACACCTTAGGCCCACCGTAGACACGTTTCAAAGTACAGTACCCATATTGACTTTTCAATTCTGTGGAGGCTTGAAAGCTTCATATATGTTGTATTTCCTACTGCAAAACTAAGATACACAACTTCTGATCTTCCACAGGTGACATCACACCCACAAAAATGTTGGAACTAAAGCCTATGCTATAAATTATGATGGCAAAATAGTGAATTTCTTAAATTATTTCATCAAGCATATTACATACTTAGGCTTCTATTTCATTTATACATTTTTTTCATTCAAAGCTGTGCTTCACTTAGAATAAAGGAACACAGAAAATTAAAAAGGAAAAAAATAAATAGGTCCCCAAACACCTGAGAATAAAAAAATACATCTTTATGCAAGGCATTTTAACTTGTCATAATTTCCTATCATCTGCATTATGTTTCTGGAAGTATTTAAGTCATCCCAATGTTAAGTATCTGTTAAATGAAATACCCACCAATTCACTACTCAGGAATCTGTCATAATGGGATTACAAAAGTTTAGGCTTAATTCTGCATATTCAGCAACGAAGCATTCAGGGAATCCAAGATTATAATTCCCATAATTCTCTTCATGCATCTTCATGCATACTGCATCAGGTTAGCTGGTAATCTCAATGTCCATGTTCTAGGGGCCCCCCCACACAAGGAAGGTTTAATTACAATGGCTTTCTAGCTCATTTATCTTATTTATCATTTATCAAAATGGCTTGTGGGTCCCGGGGCTGAGATCTCCAAGCCTGCTCGGATCGGGGTTGAGCATCCTCCACCCAGATCCTCCATCTTCCAGTAGGCAGAGGCCACACCCACCAACTGGCCCCCTGGTGCCGTGTAATACCATCAACGGCCAAGACCCAGAGACTATAAAACCCAGCTCCCAGAAGGATTATTATCTTATTATCTCATTCTTACTTTGGACAACCTGGCAGGCTACCCTATGTTACCTCCCCACATGGCAGTGTCTGGCAAACTTCCCGTGGTGTACCCAATATGCCAAACACCAGTAACAATGATGGGTCTCATTCTCCCAACCTTGACAGAGCCTTGAATATGACACTTTTTAAAATCTCGGGGCTAGGACAAAGGAGACGTTACTGGGGCCTGCTCAAGGCAATCGACGAACAAGAGGATGATCGTGATCGTGATCAAAATATCGGAAATTCAGGCTGAAAAAAATCTTGGAATCCTCTTCAAGGACGCCTACTCTCTTGTTTTCTAAACTAATAGATTTATCTGGCTCAGTTCAGCTCTTTTATACTGGAAGAGCAAGAAAGAGAGACTTTGGTGCTGGAAAGTAGTTGGAAGGGACAAGCACCCCATTATCAAGCTCGAGGAAACTGTGGCAAGGACCCTCCTATTCTGGGCAGCACTCTAGCAGTTTACTAGTGACACGTCCCATGGGACAGAACTGACAGTTTATAATCTGACCATGTCTTGAGCTGTCTCTGAGTTTTTTAATGGACAGACAGGAAGTAAAGTGAGGAAGTTTTTGCCATCCTTCAAGATGCCTCATCGCTGCAGCTAGAATCCAATCTCAGCAGCCCTGGGCCCAAGCCTCTGCTCTCTCAAAGAAAGATTACACACCTTTTGACTTTGACATCACGTTCAGTCCAACAGAAAGTGGCAGAAACCTCTATTTCCATACATCACATACAGTCTACGGGCAGGATTGTCACCACAGTACCGTGCTGAAGTCCAGACAGCCACAGTGATACACTGAGTAACTGACAGGTCTGGCTAGCAACCTGGCACTTTAGCCACCTCCATCCTACTGCTGGTCCAGGATTCTGCTGAGTCCCTGCCGGGCTTCCCGAGTCTCCCAGTCGACTCTGCCCATGACAGATCCCTCAGTTTGCTTACGTAGAGGGCCCAGCGGCTCTGGAGCAGAGTGAGTGTGAGTTTTTGGTGACACCAGAGACTCACTGTCACCGTCTGGAGGCAGGTGACTGCCGGTGTTTTGTCACTGCTGATCTGGGCTCTTATTGCAGGGGCTAAGGGGGGTGTTAGCCACCTTTCATGGCTGCAAAGTTTTTATTTCATCATTTGTAAATCATGAACGTGTTATGAGGAGACACCAAAAAGTTGTTCAAACAGCTTCTTTTACATCAAAGTTTGCTCACTCATGCCAGTCTTCATGACTGGTTCTGGATGATGATTTCCTGTGTCTTATTCCTCAATGTTTACTACCTTGAACTGTGCTGTGTAGACTTGTCCTTTCTATCCTATTTCTTAGTTCAGTAATTTATTTGTATCGTGATGGAATTATGGCTACTTTATTTTGTGGGCTATAATTTAACTCTATCATTATTTACTTGGCTACTTACAGTAAGCCAGCTTTAGTCACTGAGAGCCCTTCCAGATGGGGCCTGTGTCCTTATCTTTTTTTTTTTTTATAATTTCTTTATTTTATTGTCATATGATATTGGGTTTTAATATTCACATAGGGGGCTGGAGCAACAGTACAGTGAGTGGGCATTTGCCTTACATGCAGCTGACCCAGGTTCGACCAATATACCTGATCTAATTTCTGAATCTATCCATTAATAAGTACCTATAAAACCAGGAATTCACACTGAAACTGCTGATGATTTCCCACTTTTTTTCATCTTCATTATTTGTAAAATCTTCCTATTTTAGTGAGGAACCTGCCCCATACCATTCAGTTGCTCTGGTATCTTTTTTTGTTTTCCCAAATTTTATTTTATCAAAACACCAGGAGTTACAAGTTCCCTCTCAATCATCCTCCTGCCCCAGCCTGCCATCTTGACAGGAAGCTTTTAAGTTTGATTAAAGTTTGGGTCTTTTCGATGTTGTTGGCTGTGTGTGTGGTTCGGGTGTTTAGTTCTATTATTCCTTAACAAGTCCTGGAATCAACCTAGATGTCCAACAACAGACCACTGAATTATCAAGATGTGGTACATATACAGATGGAATACGACACAGATGTAAGGAATGACAAAATCATGCAATTTGCTACAATGGGAATGGAACTCAAAGATATCATGTAGAATGAAGTTAAGCCAAGAGAAGGACAAACACAGGATGATATCACCTGTGTGTGGTATTTAGAGTATCTGCATGAGGAAATGCAATGATTTAAAAGGGAGGGGGGGATGCCTAGATCACCCTTGGCCTCAGATGTGCTGATATTTAATAAACTAAATCATCACTAAACATCACTTCTCAGTGGGTGATCAACACAAAAGCAAAAGAATGAAGACAAGACAACTTTATGAAATGATCTAACCAAAAAAAAAAAAAAAAGACTGTCAAGGGGAAGAAGTGACAGAATTGTTGGCAGCCTCTAAGTCTGAAGTGCTACAGAGGTCTCGGGGCACGATGAATGAGCAACAGAGCACTTTTCTACAGTGGCTTCCATCTGGATACGTATTTCTATAAACATGTGACAATATCCATTCTGTGTAGAAATGACATATATGAAATTCGGGTATCAGCAGGTAGTTCTACGGGTAAGAATGACTTCAAATGGTATCATACTTTCTAAATTACTTCCTGAGATCTTTGTTTCAAAAAGACTGGCATCAGAATGACAAAATGTGCAAATGTGCACCATTCCATCTTTTGTGTACTCTTTAGATAGTGCCTAACTCTTCTCAACTAATTTAACAAAGACACACTGTGTGTGTGTGTCTGTGTGTCTGTGCCACACAGGCTGTGCTCAGGGGCTGCTCAGTGTTCAGGGGGTGCTCCTGATGGTCTTGGGGAACCACAGAGTAACAGAGATTGACTCCAGGGTCTTCTGCATTCGAAGTACAGGCTCAGCCCATTGAGCTATCTTGGTGCACCAGAAGGATATTCTTAACTTTCAAGAGTTACACCACTTTAAGTATTTAAAAAAATATTCTACACTGGAATTATTACAAAAACAAGTAACAGA